TGTTGACCAGGATGGCCTCGATCTCTTGACCTCGTGATCCACCCGCCTCGGCCTCCCAAAGTGCTGGGATTACAGGCTTGAGCCACCGCGCCCGGCCTAACTTACAATTTATCTTATTTCATTACATTATACTTACCAAAGAAGAGCTGCAATTGAAGTGATCTACAAATACTGTCAAGCAATATCACTGATTGGTCTGCTACAATAATAAACCCATCACTTAAGTTGCATGCCTGTATCTTTGGATTTAATGAGGCCTGTGGGAGGGAAAAGCATGACTAAAATTAAAACATTTTTATGAGTTAAACAATACTTGTCAATAGTATCATCAAATTCCCAAATACCCCACTTTAAAACTTGACAGGCTTTTTTTCTTTAGCCCCTCTAACTAATTAATCATTGAGTTTTTCTTTGTATGGTATATCTTGAATCCATCCAGGATCCTATGTAGAAAAACAGTACAGGATGGGCAGGAAGGGCAAAGGATTCTCATGTTCAAGTCCTTGTTTCCTCAGGATTGACTTTTTGCTGCAGGAGCCAGGCATTAACATAATGAATTAATCAAGATTGGCATACAGTCTAGGTGTCATGGATACACCAGGCTGGGGAATGGTGGTGAATTGTGAACTGGAGGTCCACAACCCTATAGATATGAAAGAACAGAATCTACTTCACACCAGCCAATGGGAAGCCTGGTGGGGATGCAACATGGCCATACCTCCCAATTCATCAATAGAAGCTGGATCTTTATGTGAAATGTTCTAATTTTTAAACGTTGGCAGCTAAGTCAACCTTTTTAAAAACACTAGATAAGCCAAATCAGAGTCTCTAGTATTCGGTTTCTGTTGCCGGGAACTTCCCACACATAGCTGTCTCAAAGCACTTGGAAAGATTAGTGGTTGAATAAGCTCAGTCCCTTTACTAGCTGAGTGATTCACTCCCTGCAAAAGAGTGATAATAGGCTGGGCGTGGTGACTCACACCTGTAATGCCATCACTTTGGAAGTGATGGACCGATTGCCTGAGGTCAGGAGTTCGAGACCAGCCTGGCTAACATGGTAAAACCCAGTCTCTAATAAAAATACAAAAAAATGTAGCCAGGCGTAGTGGCAGGCACCTGTAATCCCAGCTACTCAGGAGGCTGAGGCAGGAGAATTGCCTGAACCTGGGAGGCAGAGGTTGCAGTGAACTGAAATCGTGCCACTGCACTCCAGTCTGAGG